AAAGCCTGAGGGCAAGCTCGGCCATGTACACCAGGTTGAAGCAATGGTTGAGGACCTTTTAGTGGGGCCCACAAGTGTGTGACAGAAGCGACATGTGGCATTCCTTCGCACCATGATCACATAAGCTGCCAACCAGAAAGGTCGGGCCCACATCATCACATTGCATACCATCAGGGATACCAACAGCAGTTCCGACCGCATGTCCTCGACATTCTAGTTCAAAAGCCATCTCCAAGGTATTCCTCGGGTTGGGCAGCGATGGTTGAATGCTGCTTAAGCATTCTGTGACATTTTCCATTGCTCAAGGCCACGTCTTCAGGTTGTCGGTTGTCAGTTGTTGTATACACAAGCTTTGCGGTTGCGGTCTCGCGTCGCAACGACCACAAATCCAACAGCTACGTCTAGCTTCGCCAGGTCCTTCAGCACAACGCGACAAGTCCGGCTGCCAGCATCTGTGCAAGAACGTGAAGGATTCAACACCTGCATTCACAACACCTGCATTCACCGTATATGGCCTTGCCGGCAAAAGGCTGTGCTTCCTGTGACCCCCCGATACGCCGAGACGGCCAAATACACCGATACACCGATTCCCTCCACCCCCCTTCCCACCTCCCCTCTCCACCCCTTACACAGATACGCCGCCCTCTGCCTGATTACCTCTTTCCTCTCATTGCGCAGATACCTCGATACGTCGATACGCGCCCCCCCCCTCTCCCCCCCGCCCCGCCCGCCCCGGCTCTCGCTCCCCCGGTGGTGTATCGGAGCAGTGTACCGGTCGCTCTCGCTCGCTCTCCCTCTGTGCCGCTGCATCCCAATGCAGTGTAACCGGTGTATGTCTGTTTTTACTGCCCCACTCTGCGGTCGCTGCGACCTCATGCCCCTGCATCGTGAACCTCACATGCTAGCAGCTGCCGCCTTCTAAATGATGCGGTTCATGGGAACCTTCCGTCCTGGGAGTTGGACTGGGGCAGCATCTCGGAGTACGAGTAGCCCATTTGTGACGCCCTGAAAAAGAAGCATTGGCAACAGGCATACCCATGCTTACCGACACCATCTGGAAATTGCAACGCAGACGATTAACGCACCGGTGCCTTGGAGGACACGACACACCAGTCGGACAAATGCCACTATCAAGTATGGCACAGGCCGAAAGTCACAATCACGACACAATCGACGCGGCACCGCCTGAAAAAACAGAACCTGGTTGAAACAAAACAGCGAAAGCCAAAGCCAGAAACAACCTCGCCGACAGAAATGATCAAGTGGTACTTATCACCATGTTCGGGTGCACACACACACACATGCCCCTAAGGGGCCAACATGGGAGAGCACTGCCGTGCACGTGACTAATTGGACTGGTTCTTGGGATTTGGGGAAGCCTTAACCGCGTGCCTGCCTTGAAACACCAAGCTACAACGGAGCCCTGTCAGCACTGTTGCAATCCGACTGCATCACATCTACCTGCACTCCTACCGGAGTTCCTATGCACTGCACTTCACGTAGGGAAATCAGCCCCTGACCGTGGCCCTTGACCGCGCAGATGCTCGGTGATCACTATGAAGCCCACTGTGGGCACATGTCATCCTACTGCAGATGATCCCGATGGATGAGGATTGGTGTCTGCAAAGCTTTGCCCCCCTCATCCGCTATCGCGGGCTCGGGCACATGCCCCTGAGATCTGGCCCCATGTCGGGAAAAACCAGAACTGGTACACACTTTGGCATGTCACGAACTGTTAATGCATGCACACAGCTGGACATGACTGAAGAGAGAAAGAGAAAGAAAGAAGAGTGAAATCGGAAGTGGCTGCATCACTTTCTTTGAGTCCCCAAGCTGTCACTGGGGTGACCCATGAGCAACTCTTGCAAGTACAGGAAGCTGCGTCCAGTTTCCCTTCCAATCTGTTCCCATAGCTTCGTTGGCATGGCTAGGGAAAAGACCGCCATGCCCCTTGCGGAAAATCGGAGAACAGAAATGATCACGTGGTACTTATCACCATGTTCAGGTGCGCACACACACACACACACAAAAAAAAAAAGCAATAATAGTAATAATAATCAGGACATAAGAATATATTAATGACCATACTAATAGTTATCAGAATAACACTGACAAATAAATAAAAAAGAAAAATATAATTCGAAAAAAAACGTCCCCGACGCCAGCAAGTGGCTGACGAACCGCCCTCAACTTGCTGCATGCGCCTCGTTGAGGCTTTGGGCATCATTGTCGCCCCTGACCTTGGCCGATCAAACAGATGGAGAGGCACATGGGCCGAGCCTCTTTCTGCCTGTACTTAATCAACACTAAACGCGCTACCGACAGTACTTGCTTCCAAAGTTTGCCCCACAAACTGACACGGACTGACACGAGCAAGCAGCACTTCTGGCAGTTGCTCCGGAGCATCTGCCAGATCCGAATACAGAGAGAGGCCTGCGTCCTGATAACAGGAGGAATGTCTAGGCAAGTCGGATTTGTTCGGCCGTTGCGGCCCATGGCTTGTCCCAGCAACAAATGGAAAAGTGCTTCTCTAGGCCGTCGCCTGCTCCACGGAGCTCTGCCACTCATCATTCGCCTGTGCCGCGCACTGGCGCCACAAGTTGGGGCGATTGAGGAAATACTGCACATCTTCAAAATTATCGATTGGCTCTCTCCGACGTATGTTTGTTTCACAGATGAGCGAGCAACCCCCCGAGAAGGCCAAAACAAACAAGGAACTTGTTTCGCAGTAACGTTATCCACACAATGCATAGGGAGGCCACGCCAGAGACAAGTGGCAAATTCTCTACTCTGGGAAAGCAACTCCTAGATTGCAAACAGATGGCAGATCCACAAAAATCGGAAACAGACCTGGGCGTAGCGGACTTAGATGCTTAGCTAAACATCCGGGTCCTCCAGAAGCCGAGATTCTGTAGACGTCACACTAGTTTCGGATGTCACTTCGTCACAAAGGCTGTTGACTTGTGAAATACCTTTCGTTAACAATCTCTTGAGGGCCACTGGAGAGCCCTGGCCAAGTGAAGGCCATCCCTACCGACTCATCGCAGCCCTTTGGTTCTGGATCCATGAAACAATTCTCTTGGCAACTCATGTTGGGACCTGGCCAATCAATGCCTTTCTTGAGTAAAGGTACGCATGGTATGAAGGTACTTCAAGAATGGCAATTGGCAGCGCATTGTTGCCTCAGGCTCTGGTGGACTGGAAAGCCCCCTCGTGGAAGGCTGACGTGAAGGCGACAGTGAGTGAGTCCAACTCGACATCATTGATGCCCCGTATACCCTCGGCCGCAGAGATACGACATCAGTGCATCAAGCATGCCCAGCGCAAGGACTCTGCAATCGGGATTCATATCAAGGGCTTCCTGGTGGATGTCCACCACGCGTTTGAGCTCCAACTGCTGGGTTTCCAGAGCCGTGAGCCTTAGCGAGGATGTTCAACCGGAAAGATAGAAGACAACACAGGATCCTGCATGGGTCCATTGCAGCACAGGGCTGACATGAAACAAACTTGTTAGCACTGCCTTATGAATTGGCAACCGCATCTTTCACAAGGGACTCGTGCCTCCACGAGTCAAGACAGCGCTCGAGGCACTTAATGACACTATGCTTGAAGCAAGTGCGGCAATGTGCGGAGGGCTGCGCGCGGCAGGCGTCCCGGACATCCCACGGAAGAACGACCCGACCGACAGTTCTTTGCAACTCAGCGCAAGCCCTTTAAGCACACCAAATTTCCCAAACGTTCCAAAACAATTCTGTAAATAGGAATTGCTTTGTAAGAAAAAAAACTCGCGTCCTACGCCGAAATCGTGAAGCCGAAGGATTCTTGGTTTCTCTCCGGCGCCTTCTTAATCTGCCTCCTGATGATGTACACCAACCCCCGTCTTCCATGTTCTTGAGCTTTCCCAGCGTCTGCAGACTTTACCGAACCCTGGGCCATTTAAAGCCGTCGTACAAAGGTCGTCCTTAGCAGATCTTTCGAAGGTTTCTGAAGGTGTTTAGGCGGTCCTTAGGCAGACTGGCAGTCCGCTGCGGCATACGGATTGAGGGATTTGGGCGGGATGTACATGTGTTTGTCCCTTGCTAACAGCAGTTGCTACTGCTCTTTACAGGGTCCAAGATCCCAGAAACTCCACCCCCCCCCCCTACCAACACTCTGGAAGCCTCTTGGAAATCCCAATTACGGATCTCCAAGTGCATGAAGCCTTCAACATGCACTCATAATGACTCATTATATTGATGTGCATGCAAAAAACAAACAAAAGAACTTCGTTTGCTGACTTCGCAAGTGACATGGCAAGATGCCAAACAGGGGTTGGCGCTCTAGAAAGCAGCAAAACAACTTAGCAGAGCATGTGAATTCCAAGCCGTGTGACAAGTCTTTTGCCAACGATGCAATCTTTTCTTCGACCATGGCCCGTGTGCATGGACAGCTTCCTGGAGCAAGTGTCACGGCAAGAACAGTGACTGATGAAGGCAAGTTCCACAGTCTTACGCAAAAAGGTACATCTGTGGAGCCCGGTCACTCACAACAGCAGCCCGGACTCTATTCGACGATCAAACAAATTCGAAGATGGGAGGCTGTCTTAGCCTTCCTTGGACCAAGCTGCACAGAATATCGGCATCCTCCTCCAAGTTACACCCAACGCCATTCAACATTATGCAGGGAACCACAACAGCAGCAGCAAACAAACACAATGCATCGGCACCAGCATTTCATCTTCTGGCCTGATGCGAAACCCAACTCTGCACTTGAGCAGTGCTGGCATCACGCAGGTCAGTAGGGCAAACGGGCGTCTACGTCTAGAAAAGCAGTCCATGTTCTGATGCTCAACACAAACTCTGGCAAGAATAACCGACTGGTAAAAGTAATGTGCGACACCACGGGGTTTCTTACTCTGGCCGCCCGTGGTGCAATGACAACTGCGACCCACTCACGTGCCCAACAGTACCCAGCTGTTGGGCTTCTGCGTAGGTGAGACTGCCGACTGCGCACGCAGACCATCAAGTCATAACATACCGACCTGATAATGTCATCTGAACGCTGGGAAGGAGCCTCAGTCTTGCGCAACGACGCAGACATGCGTGAACGTCTCAAGAACAAGAAACGGTAAGCACTCACACGCAGATGCATGCAGGCAGGCATGCAAGCAGGCAGGCAGGCAAGCAGACACGCAAAAACGCACGCACGGCACAGTGACACATATCTGTCACCCCCTCCCCGATGGATCCACCCGTTTTGCGGTTTTGGGGCTGTGTTGAATCAAAGTCCGGAATGGATCCGAGGCTGGCATGCGACACAGATTTCACTAGGAATCAAAGAAGTCAGCTGCTTTCCGGTAAGCCTCAACAGCATTTCGGGAATTCTTACGGATTGGTGTTCAATAAGTTGCCTGAATGCGCTTGGCCAAAGGTTTGTGCGTGAATGAAAAGCGTTGGTCACTAGAGTCAACAGCTGTTCAAGCTTGACAATACTTACACATAACCGGAGTGCTACATTGCATAATTCCACATAACGAAGATCAGCTACTGCAGAATCAAGGGTGACAAACAGCAGCCTTGTACACTTTACAACATGTTGGGCTAGCTCGGCTACCAGGGAGGGTCTCTATCCAATGCTGCTAAGCAGAACGTTGATTAGCTGTCTTGAGAGTATGATGGTTTTTGACTCAGCCTTGGCCTTGGCATGTAGAGTATCCATTTGCTTTTTTCAGTGGTGCTTCGTCAGCTTCCATTGCCCCTTGATTAGTAACCCTCGGTTAGCATCTGAACAACTTTAATAAGACCTCAGCATGCCCCAACAGCGCGCCAAGCTGCGCGAGCTCATCTTGGAGACGAGAGCCAGCACGCCGCGAGTTCAGGCCCATGTTCTTCTTCGAAGGTGCGATTACATTGGCATCTGCCAGAGCGAGGTAGAGCTGCCTTGGTTGTGTTTAACACTTTGGGAGGGGAGGGGGGAGGCCATTGCATACGAACTCATACATATGAACATACCCATGCACACATACACATAGATTCAAACATATGCATACATGCAGTATTGGGAAGCAAGATCGGCTCCTAAGAAACTCAACCCCTAATCTGTGCCATCCAATGGCAAAGCCGAAACCGTTAGATAGGTCGAAGCAAGTGGATAGATGGCTTGGCTATCTTGGCTTTTGGGAGTGGTTTGCCCGACTGTGTTTGCAAGGCGTGCAGTGCGTACATGGTCTGATTGCACAGTTCTGTCAGTAAAGGCTTTAGGCCCTTAGGCCCTTAGGGGGCAGATTCTGAGCCATGCTGAGCCCTGATCCGCAGCCTAAGATCCCCCCGAAGAGCCATGAAAGACCTTGCCGGTACGCACCGGACGTGCTTTTTTGTGGCTTCTTGATGCCACTGTGGAGATCACGCAATCCAGGCCGTGGTGCTGGAAGCTGCTCGTCAAGTTTTTGACATCGCTTGCCAGCAGGATCCTTGGCCATGCAACTGGTGGTCAGCTTGCCTGACCACCAACTTGCAATAGAACTTGCTGAGAGCACCAAGGGTACCAGCGCCGTGGGGTCCACAAAACTGCGGCAGGGTTGCTGATCTATGGCACGTGCGGGACCCTTACATCGAAGGATTCCATCGATGAAATCATCACATGTTATTTGGCCTTCACCTGCATTTGTGTGCACTTCTTTTCTGGGCGTGTTTCCACACAAGCAGCACCAAAGACATGCATTCCATGTGCAAGCCAAGCACCATTTTGCAGCAGATGGAAAAGAGCAGTACTCTCGTGAACGTCAATCTCCAAGCTTTCTAAATAAACTTGAACCCGCACATCTTGCATCAACTCGTTCCTCAGTGGGGACGCATGGATTCGGGTGTCTCCCAGCCATGCCTCAGCCATGCCTCCGGGGATGCAAAATGGCCTATCGTGGCATATCACATTCAAGAGTCAGCTCATCCTCGGTCAAAACGCCATCCCCGCTTTCGTCACAAGCTCGGAAGATACCTCAGGCAAAAGGCAAACTTGTTTGCGTGTGCCGGATTTGGCTCAAAATACAAGCGATATGTGCGTGAAGCTCTCCATTCTCAAGCTCAGAAGTCGAGTCGCTTTCGAGTTTCCGCACATACGTTGCCTTCTTTCGCAACCTCTCTTGAACTAGAATCTCGGCGTCATTGTTCGCCGCTTCTAAAGTTTCTCGCAAGAAGATGGCGGAAATCACGCGGATGACCTCACAGCAGACTGGGGTAAAGCAATTCGAAACATGAAGTCAACTCAGCAGCCACAGGCTAAGATCAAGGCGGCAAAAACCACGAAAGTGATGTAAACCATGTAGAAAACAACATATCCATGCCCAGCATTCTCCAAAACCTTGCACAGGCACATGTCCAACTTGAAACTGGCGGAGCGCCATGAAGTCCAATGCCGCCAAAACTCCGGACGTGCGTAGATTGGCCAGTTACCAGCAAAAGTCATTTCGTACCTGGCGATGAAAACGAAGGCCCCACACCGTCACGAAGTCGGGCCACGAGAGCACGAAACCACGACAGAGGTGTTCACCCAAAGAATGGAAACACGTGAGATTACTGTGCTTGTGTTGCATGACCGAGAACAAATGCCGCCCAAAACAGAAGCTTGAGCACCCCGCGTTTGGCAGAATACAGGATGTGAGAGTGGAAAGGACGTGAAGGAGAGAAGTAAGGAGAGGGAAACCGAGAAATCCTGCTCCTAATCCCGCCTCTTTACTTCTCTTCTCTTGCTTTAGAGAGCGAAAGCTGAAAGAGAATAAAAAGAAAAAAACCAGGGACAGGGTAAAGGGAGGAGGGCCTCTATCCCGCCCTCTTTCATGTTGTCCCATCATCTTCTACTGGGCTTGAGGTGGAGCGCGAACCTCCCGCTCGGCGCGCCCGCGCTGGCTGGGGTCCGACTTTTCTTCACTTAACACATCTCATAAAATGTAGCAAGCCTTTTTAAAATGTTGGCTCAACCATCCTTGCAGCGTTTACAATATTGACTGGTGTCTGTTGTTAACTGACTAAATTGGCTTCATTCAAAAACTCTAGAAACAGTACACTTCAATTCAAAACACACAAGGGCAGAACACAAAATCTCAAACGAGTGCAGAACGGTTGCACAAGAAAAGCTTGAAATACTTTTCTTAGCTCTCAAAAATGTTGAATATGGATAAAGAGAACATAATATCTCATAAATGTGTACATATATATATATAAACAGATCTGAAGTCCATGGTCTTATTTTATTTCGAGGACTGGCTTGACAGTAAGCGTCCGATTACGAACAGGTGAAGACATTCCGGATTCCAAAATGGCTTTCATTTGTCCAGCTCGCTCTCTCTCTCTTCCTCTCTCGTCCGCGCTCTCTGATGCTAGTTCTTCTGATATGTTATTTCCTTTCTTTCTATGCATTTTGCCATTTCCCTTCCTCTGTTTGTTCTTGATTTGTCTTTCTTTTCATTTTTGTATGTGTTTTTGTTGTTTTGTGATTTTCCTCTTTCTTTATGCTTATTTGTTTTTGTTATTTCTTCATGTCTTTGCTTTGTTTCTTTATTCTTGTATTTCGGTATTTCGTTATTCCTCTATTTCTCTATTTCTCTACTGTGTTCTTTCGTTCTTTTTTCTTTCGTTCTTTCGTTCCTTCTTTCTTTCCTTCTGTTTCATTCTCTCATTCTCTCATTCTTCCTTCCTTCCTTCCTTCCTTCCTTCCTTCCTTCCTTCCTTCCTTCCTTCCTTCCTTCCTTCCATTCTGTCCTTATTTCTGTTTCTATTTCGTTCTTTCTATCTTTCTCTCTTTCTTTCGTTGTTTTTTTTCTGTATGTCTTTCTTTTCTTTCCCTTATTTGCTGCTTTCTTTCTTTCCTTATTTCTGTATTTATTTCTTTTCTTTTTCCATTAGTGGTTTCTTCCTTCCTTCCTTCCTTCCTTCCTTCCGTCATTCCTTTCTTTCTTTCCTTCTTTCTTTGCGAGAGGCATCATCCTGGCATGCCCGGGATTTCTCTGGTCGGGGAGGCGTGAACCCAGCGAAGGCATGCGAAGGCCCATCTCCGCGCCGCGCAAGGGGTCTCGGCAAAGTTGTTGCCGACGCGGATACCACGCGTGAAAACAAAGTGCGCACGTCGGAGTTGTAGGGAACGCCACGCAGAGGCCTCTGGTGGGCCTGCTGGAACCAGGATCCAGCAAGCAGACTTCTCTATCTGGGAAGCGCTGTGTCAGATACATCTCAAAGGCGAAATCATGCATCTAGACGCACCATCATCCCGGGCAATACAGCAAACGTTCGGCATCCAAAGACATTTCCCGCCCCTTGTAGTAAATTAAAAAACTCGATCTCGCAAGTGATCAACTATACCATAGTACACCCAAGTCACTTGCAATATCGAGCTCGCGACACAACATGACACAACGAAGGGACACAAGAGGAGACAAGAGGAGACAAGAGGAGCCCTGGGAAGAGTGTTGAGATCTGGGCCCAGCTGCATCGTGTAGATTGCCCTGTAGGCTGTTCCGTAGTGACGCCATATCCATTCTCGGATTTCGAAATCGTTCTCGTCGTCAAGAATGAAGTCTTGCAACCTTAAGCAGCTGGACTCGAGCTACTTAGCAAAGGCATCTGGCCAAGCGTTGAAGATGCTGAGAACCGGGCAAGTTCCCCATGAAAAGAGCACCCATCATCATGAAAATCCCAAGCAGCGCCATGGACCAGCACAGCGATGGTAGAAACGAGCTGCAAGCCTAAGGGCGAATCACTGGCGAATCACGGATCGAGTTGGGACATCACCCTCACCATGCATCAATCATCACAGATCTCCGGAATCACAACACCCATGCCTGGACGAGCAGTCGCAATCCTCAGGGTTGCATGCTACGTAGCTGCTACCCTTCTCCAGCACTCCGTGCGTTGCACAACAGTCAGAACTCCACCGGGCGACCTCGGAAGAGTCGTAGCGCTCGCACAATTCGTACCGCTCGCACCTTTGCGCAACAACATGCTACACACACGAAGTTCAGAACAACTGTGTCTTTCACCAGGTTCAGGCTACAGATCACAGCTAATTCAGTCCCGCTAAGCACCACGCCAGCTTGATGGTCCGCAGAAGGCGCAGGGTTGCGGTGTTGTTCAAAGACGTTTGGATCAAAGGCGTCAGAATGTACAAGTCAATGCAAGCAATCAATACAAGTATGCTGTCGAAAACGTTCATGAGCTCTTTGAAGTAGCGTAATCTCTCCGAATAGATCCGCCATGCCAACTCCAGAAGGAATATGGCAACAAACAGGTGCTCCAAAACCTGTCTGCAGTGACTTGACAAGAACACATGCCAAATCCAATGCATATCCAGGATATCCCTGACACACTGTGCTTCAGAACCATCCTGGCTGAGCAGCCAATATCACAGGAGCTGCAGATGCCCAGATGCTTTGATCAAGTAGGCCAATGGTGACCCCTACATTGTTCCCCTGGCTCTCCAGATCGACTACCATAACCAGCGCATTCCTCAGCGTTGCCGAAGGAGGTGCGCTGCGCTTCAGGGGCAAGGGGCAGAGCCAGAAGAGCTGAGCATCGACTGGACAAGTCTACACAAACCGCCCAGGCGACTCTCACTTGCATCTTGCTGACATGGCGCAGAAGCACGGCAACTCCCACAACTGTGTCAAAGCCATTTCTTCGCTCCTCGCTTCCACAAAGCTTCGAGCATCCCCATCCGCATCCCTCCGCACATGAGCGTCATTCCGGCCATACTTGTGGCAGCTATGTCTACGTCACCAGCCCACACCTCATGATCCAAACGTTCTGCCCTGTCAGGTACCTTTACTGGAGAAGCAAGCAGGATCTCCTGCGCAAGTTTCAGGTCTTTGGCGGCTGCTGACGACTCGCCCCCATCAGTGACGGTGTTCCTGAAAGTCAACTACGGTTTCACCATCCCAGCCCGCATGGCACAGGCACAGTGAATCGTCCTGATGCGCGACGTGCTGCGGCTTCCCATGCCCCTTCCGTGTAGTCAGATGGAACACGTTGAATACACGCGTTACGATCTGCTTAACAGTGGCCTAAAGTGCCTAAAGCTCCCGCACCTTGACAGCGACGCATTGATAGCCTGATTGGTAACCTGGATGGGTCTCCAAACAAAACTTTTGTCAGCTTACTGATGCTGGCGCCAGAACAGCATCGGAACAACCCCCAGGCCTTCGGGGAGGCTGCGGTAGCCGAGGTCGGAGTGGGCGCGACAGGAGGAAACGTGGGTTGTGACTGCACCGGGTATGGATCGCTATCCGGCATAGATGGTTGAAAAGCTATGTTTGGTTCAAAATGGCCGAGTGCACGCTCATCCAGGTCCTCGGTGAGGAAGACAAGTCTACAGCCAGCTCAAGGCTCACACTGGGTGCGACATCGAAAATGAGGACTTCAACTTCACAGCTTGTCTGGCAGTACATCGACTTCCTCCGTTTGAGCATCTCACCAAGAACATGAGCTCAAAAGCATGCGGCATCACCTACGCAAGGAAAGAGGAGCCTGACATGCCACGAACAAAATGAACAAACATTGCCGGACTTTAGACAGTGTTGCTCAGCAAGGCCATATGGAGTGGTTTTGCCGGTGGAAGAAATCGGGCTTGGTGTTCAACAACTTTTGCTGCCCCTTTGAGTCCCATGTACTCCCGCCAGCAGAAATCAAACCCACTCAGCAGAGCGAAGCATCAAACCGCAGAAGTTGCTCAGAGAAGCACTTGAGTGTGCATGAGGCATGACGCAATGAAGGGAGTCGATCCTGTCCAATCCATCCTCGTATAGTCTGAGGCCCTGAACAACCAACAAGAGCCTTATCAGCGCTGGGTGTCTTCCACGATCGCATTTTCGTCCACCTGCAGGACCTGCGGGGGCCGGAAGCCAACGCAAGAAAGAGTTGCCATTTCACTGCTTCATAGAAGGAGTCACGGATCGGCAAATGATGGCACATGGATTGCACATACAAGGACCATACATAGCCCGGAATGGACCCATGGAACCTGCTCGATTCTGGGCAGGCCCGACGAATTACTTGCATAAGCCTTGATGGTGTGCCGCTCTGTTTGCTCACCGTTCAGAACCCCATGGACCCACATGGCAGCAACGGGTGTCGTGCGAAGCATGATATGCGCTCGGTGAGAAGGCCTCAAAAAAGAATGGGAAGTGTGGGACAGTGTTAGCCAGCAAGATAAGCTGCCACGCAAACATGGTGGTCATTCAATCGTCCAATGCTTCCGGACTTCTGGTGTCCCACAGCACACACACGCGTAGGTTCGGCTGAGGTTATTTTCACGTGCTCGCCTCTAGGGACAGAACAGGTGGACAAAAGAAGGGACCTCACGGCAACCCGCACACGGAGCATAAATCGTGTCCAGTTCTGCACCTCGACATCGCCTTCAGAAAGGCCCATTTCGTAGGTGTCTTTGCTGGTGTTGTTGTACTCTGTGTCAACCGCTGTCTGACCATTCAGCCTGAGTGCAGGCTGTCGGCCATCGTGCAGGGTGCCGTCTGGCAGATAGCTAGTGACTAGTGCTCTTTCGAGTAAGCCGTCGGCCGTACAGAAGCGAGCAATTCCGTGCGGTGGGTCTCCACAGCTTCTTGCAGCTGCTTCTGCTGCTGCAGTGACAATGTAAGCCTGGGCACCACATGTGACGTGACTTAACGTGACACTACACTTGAACACCTTGCCCTCCTGTTCTGATCGAGTGGCAACTCCTGTTGCAGGGTAGCCAGTGTCACTCCCAAGACATTTGGATCCAAATGATATTCTTCACGTGCACCTCACCCAACCCACGTACCACATACAGTCAAGACTGCTTTGCAGTGGCTGGCGGGTGCCTTCACTCAAGGCCATGTTCCAAGGCTAGCGGTTAGCGAGGCCTAGTAACTAAGGCCTAGTAGCTCTGTTATGCTCGATATAAAGGTGATAGCTGATAGCTTCCGTGATTGCCGCAAAAAAAACATCTGTTTGCTTGGTTCAACCGTCCTCACAATAGCAAGCATGACCTGACATCGTGACATGATCATGACCAGTTGCTGCGAGCCAGAAGAGTGGAAATCTTGGCATTTGCAAAACCGGACAATGGCTCAAAGACAGACAGAAAGAAAGAAGGAAGAAAGGAAAGAAGGAAAGAAGGAAAGAAGGCAAAAAGGAAAAAATGAAAAAAGGAAAAAAGGAAAAAAAAAAAAAAAAGGAAAAAAAAAAAAAAAAAAAAAAAAAAAAACAATGAGAAAAAAGTTAGAAAAAAAAAGGAAAAAATGAAAAAATGAAGAAAGGCAAAATGAAAAAGGAAAAGAGGAAAGAAGCAGAGAAGGAGAGAAGGAGAGAAGGAAAGAAGGAAAGAAGAAGGAAAGAAGGAAAGAAGGAAAGAAGGAAAGAAGGAAAGAAGGAAAAGAATGAAAAGAAGGGAAAGAAGGGAAAGAAGGAAAAGAAGGAAAAGAAGGAAAAGAAAGAAAAGAAAGAAAAGAAAGAAAGATAAAAAGAGAGAGAACTTCGAAAAACAAGTGAGAGAGAGCAAGAAAGTCAGAGAATGTGTAACGTCAATTTTGGAGGACCGGAAGACCAGCAGACCAGAGGACCAGGAGACAGGAGTCCAGGAGGACCGGAGGGCCAGAGGACCAGAAAGCCAGAAGATCGGCAGACCGGAGGTTCAAAGACAGGAGGACCAGGAGACCAGAGGACAAGAAGACCGGAGGACCGGACGACCAGGAGACCAGAGGACCGCGGAACCGGCAAAGAATGCCCAAAAAAAATCAAGAAAAACAAATCAACAAATGAAATTAAAAAAAAAAATCCAGGGACAATCAAGCTTGCTCAGAACCGCCTCACCGGCAGAAGCTGCGCCTTGCCTGCAGGACACCGGAAATTTGGAGCGGTTGGCCACGGCTCGGCTGCAATTCTCTAAACATGCTTGGACAGAGCCCGACACCCAGGTCTGAAACCGCCCCCGCCCCACACTGCCGTGCATTGCGCCGCACATGCGCCGCACATGCCTCAGCTCCAAGATGCGGTCGTATGCCGCCCGCGCTGCCTGCCGCGGCACCATTGACACAGGCTTTGACCAGGCAAGGACGTGCCGCTACATGCTCATCACAGAGATGAGTATGAGGTGGAAAAGGGAAGTAAACCTCATGCGTCTGGCGCAGATGAGCCTCTACAATCTTCCACTACCGGAGGCCCCTACAAGGGCGTTTGCTGGGAAGCCCCTGGGCGGCCTCTGGCCTTCTCTGTGGGAGGAACAGGGTCCACGAAAAGTATGTCAATGGCAGAGCCCGTTATCGCAATTTGGATGCATTCGGGCATTCTTTACAATCCTGGAGCGTTTGAGGGAGTTGTTTGCAAAACCTCCTCTCTCCCCTCACCTGTCTTCCTCACCTGCATTCACGACTGCCACCTGTGTGCTTTGGGCTCGACTCATGCTCGACATCCCAGAGCAAATGTCCTTGAACTGCTCGGCGTTTCCACCCTTGTCCGGATGCAGGCGCATGGCTGCTGCCTGTTCTTCAGGCTTTTTCAGTCACGCAGCAAAGGTCAGCCCAAAAAGAAAATCAACGTCTCGCACCTTGTAGGCTTTCGTGAGGTCTCCGTCGGAGATATCAGGCGTGACACCAAGAACTGCATAAGCTTCATGGTTCTGCACGTGCTCCAGCACCGCCTACCCCAATCAAGCAATGGAAACAAGTCTTCGTCACATGAACTGTCTGTCACACATGCACAAAGTGCCTTCATGGCATCCTTCTGCCAGGACAGATCAAGCAAGTAGCGACTGAGCTGTTCATTCTGCACCTTGGATGCATGTTCTTTGTGCAGCTCTGCCCTTCCTCTGCGAGTTCCGCTACCCGCTACCCACTTGGAGCACCTCCAGTTCGCTCGGTGACAGCTGGGCCGAAGCGTCGACCTGTAGCTACCATTGATAATCATGCTCGACACCGACCGATGGCCTGATGAGGGCCATTCAACTTATTCCACATGCTAGGAGCAGAACGGCTTCAGAATCTGTCCGTTGCAACTCTGCCTGTGCCAGGGCCGCAGCCTCCGTCACGGCTTCAGGATGAATCACAAGTGTTGTCCCTACAGATCTCATGTCAGACTTGCCAAGCCACTTTGGCGGCAACTACTCCTGCACCATCACGATCCTGCGGATTGCCAGTGCCTTGTCAAGTATATCGGCTACAACTCCTGCACTTGCCTCCCAGCAACACTCAATGTCAAGTGCATGCGAGCTCAACCTAAGCGTAAGGAGCTTGCGACTTTGGACTAACCTCGCAGCCTGCCGCAGCACTTCCAGGTCACAATGCACCTGCCAGCTATCACAACCAAGTATAGATGCAGCATCATCATCTAAACACGCTTCACACCCATGCTGGCGTGATGTTGATGCTCACTGCCTGCAGGAAATGGGACAAGCCGCCAAACCTTCGCCTGGGGATACATTGCGAATATGATGTTATACTCGCAGCCATACTTCTTCTCCGAAGTTCCGGTGCCCAATTTAGGGAATGAATGGCCGAGCTGCTGCGGATGTGCCTTAGGCCACAGATGCAGCGTGGCGCATGGTGAAATACAGGATTCTCTCGCGCCTGAAGGCATTGTCGACGGAACTCGAAATTGACCGCCTCCGCATCAAAACCGTCAGTGGCCAAGACCTGTCCACATTTCAGTCCACCTGCAACTGATATGCACCATGTCTTTCCAAGGCTTCCATGCAGCCTTGGCCGCGCTGGCCACCGCCTTGACAGGAAGCTTTCAGATTGCTTCATGCAAGGCATATGACCAGAAGACGAGGGGCCTGACCAGGTTCCTGCGGAAACGCTAGATGAGGCAACATTTCCTCGGCTGGCTCTGCGAAACTGAACTACTCGGACGTATCCTCGTACCTCCCTGACGGCTGACATCACGGTCCCATCCCCTCTGCCACAAAGATGCACTCATAAGCTGGCCTGCCACCGCATCCTGACCATGCACCAGGGGCAACACGGCAAACACGGTTCCGAAACAGCTGGCCAATGCAAGTTAGAAGCAGTAGGCCATTACGAAGCCAACAAAACGCGATGTCACATGATGCCACAAGATGTCAGAACATGTCCGAAGTGCTCGTCAGTACCCATGTGCCTCCGGCAAGGCAAGGGCTGCCAGACCGCCGACAAGGGCGCCCAAGCAGCCACCCAGGCAACCTCTCCAAATCCAGGGCTGGAAGGATGCAGGAAAGCCCGTCTGGCCATGGTTGGCCTCCAGCTTCGCCACGGCCATAGAGCTCTACAGTTCCTGGGTTGCACACCCAATCACACAGACAAGTATGCCCAGACGTGGTGATGACTTCGAATATGCCGTCACGCCAAACTGAAAGGATCAGTGGGCACAGCTTGGGGGCAACAGGCGGTCGGTGTCTCAATCAGAGGAGAACGCAACCGTTCCGGCAGTTGCAGGCCAGCGTCGGCTCATTTCCCTTTGCGCCGGAGCTGAACAATAGTGGCCTCTACCATGGGATATGACGTGATGACAGGAAAGTTGTGCACTCCTGTCTGCCGCACGAACAGTAAGTCACTACGCGCTTCTCTTGTACTCCTTGCAGAAACTTTTGCTACGGTAACTGAGCTGCGTCGGCACGAGGCAGCTCAGAGGTGAAACCATATGGCACAAGAAGAGGGGCTGCATGGCATTCTGGACCACAAGGTTACATCCATTTCAGCACATAGCGGAAGCTGATGTAGATTGCCGAAACGATTGCAACACCCAAACCTCAGCACAAACTTGAGGATATGCATTCCCCTGAACCATTGCAGCTCCATCTGTTGAGGACAGCTTCAGGAGGGTACCTCATACATGTACATGTTATATAGATACATATATATATATATACATATGTATGTCTAATATATTGCTATTTATATATATATATATATATTTAGTGGCACCAGCCCCCCCCCTCCCCCCGCCCCCGCTGGCAGCAAAGCACCGTGCAGGCAGCACCACAACTTCAGATCAAGGACAGTACTACGAGCCAGATGCGGGAACACTGTTGCCGTTTGAGCGAAGTTCTTCAGGCTGATGTTCTGCTGATGCCGATTGTCATGGATGAAGCTGTGCCCATGGATGTCGACCCCGTTTAGTGGACTGCAAAAACACAGCCAGCAAAAGGAGCAAAAGGAATACAAAGCAAAAGGAGGCAAGCAAAAAAGGGCTTGCACCCGAGAAGGGATATGGGAAGAAGGGAGGAAAGGCATCTGTTTGGTGCGCGGGAAACTTGCACACTTTGCTGCAGAATGCAGAAATGCATCGTCAGCAACCTCCCAAGCCAGCACAACACAACCCTCTAGCAGTAGCATCAGATTGAGCTAAGCTGCCCCAGAATAGGCAATAGCCACGCTGCTTTTCAAGCCTGCCGAGACCTTGCAGGGCTACACCGTCCACCTGGCATCCTTGCCTGCGTCGCTGCCTGCGTTGCAGTTCCCCCAGGCTGCGCCTGGTACGACAGGCTTCCCGCTGTCATCGATGAAATTCATGCCGTACATGGATGCCAGAAGCTGCCTCAATAGCAAAGTTGATCAAACCGAAATTGTGTTTGTCGGGTTTTGTGGGGGAGGCATCGAAACAGCCTGCAAGGCACAGACCTACCTTGGCGCGGCTGCGGCTACGCGGTTGCACAAACAATCAAAGGACTTCTGCCGCGAGCAAAGCTGCAATGGGGTTGTCATCGTTGTCACCAAGGCAAGAACATAGACCACCTTGATGCTCCGCAGATTTCCACAGCAAGCAGAGCAGAGTGTAGAATCTCGAACCCTTGGGAGTTGCCGAGATGCGCCCTGCTGCTCACGGTCGCGGAAGCTGCGGACCTGATCCCTCAGAGAGTCGCAGACCTCATCTGGGCTGGGCTGTCCAAAGCCAACATCATAGATTGGAGATACCGGAGTTATCGGAGCAGTTGAAGGCAAGATGCCCCAATGCTGCGACTGATCTCTTCGCTGTATGTTTCAAGATGGTCCTCAACATCCTCCAGGTACTGTGTGACCTCACGACTGACTTCGCTTGATCAAATGCCAAGGAAGGCACCATGTGCTGCTGCAGACACGTCCGCGACAATTGTCTTGTCGTTGATCAGCTGCCTAACAACCTGAGGCAAACAGAGGGGCTCGACTGGCTTGACCCGCTCGGCTTTGGGCAGCGTGGTTGCCTCATGTGCCATCAAGGCTCGCGGCTGATCGGGCGAACCTTCCGCTGTACCCATTCAAGCTCAACTCGAGTCCAGAGAAGCCTCTTCTCCTCAGCATTCAATCTTCTCTCTCGGAAACTACCCCCTTTCGGCTCAGAAGGTTGAAATGCCATGGATTCTGTCTGAGTCCGTCCGAGGGACGACATCGTTGTCTGATTTGGCACGGCGCCGTGCAATGTGAGCTGTGAACCTGATCATCACACTAAAGCTTGAGGCACCCAACGGACTGCAACGATGGCAACTGCTCGAGCTGGGGTCGAAGCCATTGTAATCGCGCACGAAACGCTGCAAGAATCGGCTGCATGTCGTCCACCTCAATGACTCAACCCGCGCTCGCAAACTAATGTTGGAAGTTGGAACCATTTTTGGAAGTTGGAATGTATTTGTTTAACAAAAGCTGTGCTTGGACTGCCTCCTTCAATTTTGCTGGTGGTGGGGAAAGGTCTGCTGGCTGCACGCTCTTTGAATTTCATCCCAAGACTGACAACTCGAATCTTTGAGAGGCTTTCCAGCCCTTCCAGCACAGGAGGATGCGCACAGGACGCGCGCAACGCAATCCAGAACCGCAAGCAAAGACAGAGCATCCACTCTACCCCATCCAACCCCCCATCTTTCAACAATCTGCAAGCCGCCAACAGAATCTCTAGGATAACCGTTCCGGCTGGTCGCTCTGTAGCACTAGGTCACTGAGCCTCTACATGCGTTGAAACACCCCATGTCCCGCATCAACATTGCATGCATCAAAGGCGTTTCACACTCACACCTGTCAGAAGTCGGACAAGTTTTGACATGCGCCGTTCACGTCGGAGACGCATGCAGCCAAGGCACGACTATGTCGACAACACGCCACAACAGCCAGGGGGCGTTGCCTGAACGCAGAACCGAGCAGTCCTGCAAGGGTTGACATGCAGGAGGTGTCGGCGCAACTAGATGCAACTATGCGCAACCCTAATTGCGGACATGCTCGGACGCCCACGTGCACCAGTGGAAAATTTGCATGGTTTTGCGTGCCAAGGCTGCCAAGCCTTCTTGATTTCTTCGGCAATGCCATCGAACGCCTCGGTGGCATCATCATCAAGCAGGTGGCCGTTCGAGACTCCCATTTCTGCATCGTCCATGTCGAATTCCGAAGGCCTCACAGAAATCCCAGACTAAAGGCCGCATGATACGGTTGAACGCAAGCAAGACCAAGCAAAGCAAGAAGACACTGCCTTGGAGAAGCATCCGGCGACTCGGCACAGAAACTGTCAGCTCGTATGTTATGTGACAAGTCCTCTTCGGCGAAGGTGTCGGACCTGAACCTTTGGTTCAACGACAGTGTTCCGTAAGAGACGGAAAACTCCGCGCTGCAAACGGATGCAACTTCGGAAGCTAAGCAGAGCTTGCCAATGCCACCGCAGCCCTGCACACACGGTACATGAACGGCATCCCCATCAAGACCCCACTGAGCTGATGTTTTTGCATGTTTGTGTTTGCGTTCTCCAGGTGTAACTAAGCTTGTTTGTGTTGCAACTGCACGCGCTGGCATAGCGGTAAAATGCTGATGTCGAAGCCAGTAAAGGTCAGAACATGAACGGGCCAGGTATGTAAATCCCAAAAAAATTGCTCCGGAACATGTCCACATGCCCGGTTCTCAACCGCGTGCTATTGTGAAATTCGCACGGTCAAATTCATAAAGGCTTCGAACTTTGGTCAATAAGTGGCGTGGCCGTTCCAGTTGCATGGCGGAACCGAACTACGCAACCAGGTGTTGCATGGCGTTACCATGCTCATGCTCGACACGTTCCTCTCGAAAGATACAGCCGCATTTGGTAACTTGGACCCTTGTAATGTTGCTTTGCGCACAAAGGCTTGCAGATCATGTCTACTGAGATGCAGAGTTCCTCTTGCCCATCATTCGCGGGCCTGCTTAACAAGGTATCCTGCTAGTGGCTCGTGGCCACTGCTACGGCCACTGCCCCGTCAAGTGTTTGGCTCTCCGTCACCTGCCTCCCCGGCAGTTCCGCCTACACTGGGCCTACGCAGTACCCAGGTCTAGCTTAGCAAGTGCGTCCACGAACCCCGCATGTGATGAACTTGTGTTCCTCACAGCTTTGCGGGCCGGCAGGGGCCGCATCAATGCTGCTGCGGCGCAAATGTGTCAACGACAGAATGCGAATCCACACGAGGCCAGATTTCGTCGTCAGGTGTTTGGGCATCCCCAGAACCGCTGTGCTGAAGGAGGCGCGCACCTCTCTCCACCTCATGTGGTCAAGCTCAATTATTCCGAGATTGTCCAGGCCACATTCCAGATGAATTCCGGGCTCTGTTTTTGAAGCACCTGCGAACACCATTGTTGGCACATTGTCGACACTCGGAGCATTGCCAAAAGAGATGAGCAGATGCCATTTCCACAAGCTCCCTGTTAGTACTAGTGATGCGACAGTGATGCGACCAAGTAAAACTCCGTCCGAGTTTTTTGATAACAGTGTCCCGAGAACCCAAAGAGTGTGGAACGGGATGGACTGGGCCTCGGCTGAGCTCAAGGATGCTCTTCGCAATCCTCCGAAGTGATCGCAATGCGGAGGCTTAGCCTTGACTCTGGTGGAAGAAGGCATGCCGGTCTGGAGGCAATTTTCTTTAAAGGTTGGCAAGGTGTAGACCCCAGGCGGTCTGTGGCTCGGTTTCAAATGCGGCTTCAACTGCACATCGGCCGTGAGCCCTGGAACGTCGGGAAACTGTTTCTCTTCCGCCATAGAACTCAGCGACTCTTTCAACACCGTTGTCTCCTGTGTCCGGGATTTTCTTTCAGCTGCGTGCGTCTACATTCTTCTAAACTCGTAGTAACCCATCTTCGTCGTAGAGTTTCTTGCTGCCATCGGCAACTGTCTCCGTACCAGCATGGAAAGGTTCCGCATGCCACTTTGCCACTTCGTGCTGAGTTTTTGTGCAAACTCATGCGCCTTCAAGTTTTAAAACTGTCTTCTGCTCGACATAGCCGACAGGGAAAAAGCTACATCTCGAACCCCTTCTGTGGCATGTCACGAAGTGCTGCCACCGTGGCATGATGCTGTTGGAGAGCGTTGAACCAGATCTTGACGGGCAGACACGGCATTTATCAGGCCATGTTCTTCGGGACCATTTTGCTGCCTTTTATTCAGTGAGCCTCAAAAAAAGTCGAGCTTGTTCTGTTTTCTTCCCAGACATCCAACAATCCTGATCGTATCCGCACCAAAGGCCTGGCTTCCGTTGGCTTAATACGCGCAGGCCAACCATTCGCTGTCCAGGTGTGTTTTTCAATGCTCGTCTAAGAGACTGGAAACCAAAATGGCATGAGCCTGGCGAGAAAGTGTTCCACAAGTATCGAGCTGCCAAAACCAAAGCTGTGAACTCTGCTCGCAACCCTTTCGGCAGACAACTGCACCCCCAAGGAGCCACGCAAAGCATCCAGTCCACTGGCCCACCACATTGAGCCAACGACGTTTTCCGCATGATGGGCACAATTTCACGCGATGCGATTAACGGCAGGCCCCTAGCGACCTCGCGCGACGTCGAGGCGGATGCGCGGAGCGGCAACAATGAAGTCGCGCTTTGATGCACCCCCGAAAGATGCAACGCCGGAGTTGCAAAATCCGCTGCATCTGCTGCCGGCAAGCAACGCCCGAGCACTCCTGCCACCAAAGCGTCGTCTTCTCCTGCAGAACCTGCTCCGTGGCTGCAAGATGTTGAAACTTAAGTTACAACTGTTACAAACTTAGGTGCTGGTTTCGGGGGGGGGGGGGTCAGCATGTCGTCCTTCTTCCCTGAAACACCACACGAAAGTACCCAAACTGGTCCAGCTGATGGAACATGAAAGTTGGCACACCCCGACAGCAGATTGTATCGCCTGGATGTGCCACCAGTTTGACGTGGCAGAGCACGCTCACTTACATGGTCACTCCCTCACTGTCGCTACACAGCCTGATCTCACCATGGCGCGGAGACTCGGAAGGTTGGCTTGTGCCATCTTCCGAATGATGAGTCACCCACTTGGTTTGCACGCTGATCCTTCGCCACGCTCAGCTGCTGAAGCATGGCATGTCTATATATCTTTGTCTTTGTATGGTCCACGCATTTGGAACTTGCATATCTTGCATTGCAACCTTGCCACACCGTGTCGTATCTTGGTGGTCCAGCAACGAAAAGGGCAACTCGTCCCTGCACGGCAAAGACGAGTGGCAGGAACGGAGAAACAGTGGCTTCCAAAGAATCCAATTCTCATCACGCCTGCTCGATGTGCACCTCACAGGGAGCCTGACTATCCTTACCAGGGCCAGGGTTTCGCGGCAGGCGAAAGGCAAAGAAAATGGAAAGACCAGACAAAACTCCTGATGCTCAACTCTGGCTAGGGGTCCGGATCCAAGTGGATGGAACGACTGCTGGAACGCCTGGAATCATCCATGGGCAAATGCCCGAAACTAGGCTCGGCTGCCGCTAAAGCTTGCAGTTCATGCACCTCGGCAAGGCATCGTCGCCGTCTCTATCGCGACGTGCCCGCTCGAATCTTTCGAGCTCATTTCTAGCTGGCCTTGGACGAACAGCTTGGGACTGTCTTGATTTAATTTTGCGTGCTTGCAAGGTTTTTAACTCCAGCAAACTGCTTTGGCATTTCCCCAAGAGGCGTAGTCAGTCTCAGCAACGGCAAGATGACGAAGTAGTGACGATGATAGATGCGCGCCACGGGTACAGACTGCTGCTGCAACCTCGGTTCGCTTGAGCTTGGCCTTGTCCAAAACGAAAACTACCATGGCAATCTGGGCGCTGCATCGTGTCTTCCACCGGCAAGGGGTGAAGTTGATACTTCACCGCCAATCTCAAGATGCTGGCCTGAAGCCAAAACATGGCGCTTTTAACTTCATGTTGCTGGCGTGCTGCTGTCGATCGCCAATGGATACCTGGCCTTGCCCACGTTGCTGCAGTGCACCCAGCCTGGCCATGCCATCTTACTCGTGCACGCTGCGCGGAGTCAGAAACACTGCGGCAGCCTGTGGGTAGGCTGAAGACACAGGCTGCAAAGTTATATCCAAGCGGCGCATCTTCATCGCAGGATGCCGGTGGCTAAGGAAGATATCCAACTGATCTGTACGCTGGAAGTAGTTCTCTTTGACAACCCTGCCACGTGTGCAACATTAGACAACATTGTCACAACGTTGTCACAACATTCACGCACACCGGGCACATGCACGGCACCAGTACAGCTGCACCCTCGTGATTGAACCGATCTGGAACCCCAGCCTTGGATTCCAATCCTTGGTTCGAGTGACTTCGCAAGCTTTTTTGGCTCCTGTCTCATCCTGTCTCAGCCTGTCTCTCAATAAAGGTCACTGTCTTTTTCAAGACTGGACTATGGCTATGCATGAGGCCAAGCTTCGATGATTCCGATGAAGCCCCTCTCCGGCTCGAGAGGTGGACGAACACGCTGCCCGGAAGCGTCCGGCAAGCTGCCACAGAGCAGGTGTAGCTTCAGCAGCCGGAGAACCCTGCCGTACAGCTACACATAGCTGCTACAATGCTGGGCGAACGCGCGACACGTGAAGCCGTCAAGCAAACTGCGCGACATCTTGAACATTCCGCGACCTGTGAAACGCGCGGACGTCCAAAGACTCCTGGGCAGTGAAAGATGCTGCTTAAGAAGCTTGCACTTGCTGCAAGCAACTCCCTTCTAAAACGATGTCACTCGATTTCTCTTCGTGCTGCAGAACGAGTCCTTGCCAAGGGAATGCCTCAGACTTGCATTCTGCTGCTCATGATTTTGCTGCTGGCTACGAAAGAGCGCAAGGACTCTCTGTCCAAAAGTTTAGCAGGGGTGTTGAAGAACACAAAGATTGGGGCCCCACACTGGCTCCACAATCCTCCAAAACCCCGCGCCGTCCATGCAATATCCTCGTAGAAAGCGCAAATCCAGTCAATAAAAGCGGCCAAGACTCCACAAAGCTTCGAAGCTCGAGCCATCGAGATGCGCAAATCCTGCAGAGCATGGGTCCCGACATGGGAATGGCTGCACCAGCTTCTGATTCGATACTGATTCAATACAATTGCAAGTGTTAAGGTGGAGTTGACTTATCATACCCTCCCAAGGGCCAGGAGAATCATACCACCTTGCAAGATATCCTTGCTAGGAGCCTCCATGACCAAACAACAGGAAGAATCGCATCTCGTCAACGCTCCATGCCTCACACGATGCCTCGCATACTCTGTTTTGCACCTCATTGTCCCCCCCATGATGTTCCAATATTCCAGTGGTTCCGGTATGACCTGCCCGGCCACCGATTCTGAAGCCGCATTCCTGTTGTCTCAAACCTCGTTCGTCCGCTTTTTGGACTTTTTGGGCCTTCCGGTCCAGTTGCCCACCTGAGGCTAACGCGTTACACAGGTCTCCGAGCAAAGAAGCATATGAACATGCCAGCCTTCGAGCTCGAGGGCATTCCGAAGCGTGGCCATGTCCATCGTGGTTCCTTGCTGTCTTCTTCACTCGCCGACCGAGCAAGGAACATCCCAATCATTCCCGATCCAAAGCCACAACTCGAAGCAGTGCAGCAAAATGCAGCAAAATGCAGCAAAGCAGCCCTCGTCTTGTTCAATTCTCTTGTCCATATCACTGATTGACCTCCGAAATGGAAATGCTTGGGACGCGTCCTCGAAACTGTTTGCTCGAGATGCGACTCCTCAGACCAACAAAGCGCAAGCAAGGCGATGCAAGACTGCAAGACTGCATTTGATTTGACGCCAACCTTCGGACAATCAGAAACAACATCGCAAGATTGTCACCGGGAAACTGCTGCAAGGAATCGACTTTCCTTGCGATGCCAGATTCTGAAGGGCAAGTGAATTGAAAGTGAACGAAGACAAAGATTGAACAATGAAAAAGAAAGGCTTCTTTTTGTCCAGTTGCGTGACACCTGCTGGTCCAAGCCAGTGCACGCTTCAAAGAGGCGCCTTGTGGAAACAACAAAAGTTAATGGGATCAGGCCACATGCACACCTAGTTTTTGAAGGTTTTCCAAAAGCGCAACTGTTTGAGGCTGATCGACCTCACTGACCGACATGGCGGAATTTTCTCCGAGCAGCATAGCATGTTCCAACGTGGCATCGAAGACCGCATGACCGTCCGGGCCATCGATCTCTCGCAGCAGGCGCTCACCACCTCAGGACACGGGGGGAGGGTTGGTGGAGGGAAGAGTGCAGAGTCCCTCCCGCCCCCCAAAAAACAAAACAAAACAGAAAGGCCTTCCCCCCAAAAAAAAGAAAAACAACAAACAACGAGGCCCCCCTAAACCCTAAAGCCTAAACCCTAAACCCCCTTTTGCACAAGGGACTCGACTGCCAAACCCCTAAACCCCCTAAACCTTAACCCCTAAAGTCTAAGGCCGAGCCCATCCCGCCCACAATCTGGCGGGCAAGGCTTGCCGAGCGCCAGCGAGCGCTTGTCTCACTCGTGTCCTGAACAGTGTGAGGGTCGGCTGGTTGTGGATGCCTGTACGCACACCGCTCCTGGCCATACCCCGTAAAGGTAAACACCCGAAAACCTCCACCGAAATGCTCTGGCGCTTCCCACGCCTAGTGCTCTGGCGGTTCCCACCCCTCCGCCGAAATGCTCTGGCTGTTCCCACCCCGGTGCTCTAGCAGTTCCAGGCCCAGGGTTCAGGGCTTCAGACTTTCAGAGCCTTCCCTCTACATGGTTCCCCCAAGCTACAGGTTCCATCCAGCGGGAGTGGGTT